AGATGATCATACGATTCTTATCTTTAAGTCTATTAATGTGATGAATTACATTTGCTGATTTTCATATTGAACCAACCCTGAATCCCTAGGATGAACCCTACTTGATTGTGSTGCACTATCCTTTTGATGTTTTTGTATTTGCCAGAATTTTATTGAAAAATTTTGCATCTGTGTTCATTAGAGATATTGGTCTGAAGATTTCTTTCTTTGATATTRTCTTTGTCTGGTTTTAGAACCAGGGTGATAATGACTTCACAGAATGAGTTTGGAAGTGTTCCCTCTTTTTCTATTTCATGAAATAATTTGAGGAGTATTAGTTCTTCTTTGAAGGTCTTGTAGAACTCAGTTGTGTATCCATCTGGTCCTAGGCTTTTCGTGGTTGGTAGGCTTCTGATAGTGTCTTCTATTTCATTGCTTGAATTGACATGTTTAACTTGTATATATCATCCTGATTCAGTCTGAGCAAATCATGAGACTAGAAATTTGTCGATATTTTTTCTATTTTACTGGAGTACAAAGTTTCAAAATATTTTCTAATTATATTCTATATTTCTGTAGTGYCCATCATGATATTTCCTTTTTCATCACAGATGTTAGTTTTCTCTTTCTTTCTCCTGTTATCATGGCTAAGATTTATSAATTTTATTTATTTCTCCAAAGAACCAACTTTTTGTTTTGTCAATTTTTTCTTTTGTCTCAATTTCATTGATTTTAATTTTCTATCTTCTACTGCTTTTGGTGTCGATTTGTTTTCTTTCTAGGGCTTGGAGATTCAACATTGGATCATTTGTTTACCATTTCTTCTTTTAAGGAATGAACTCGAAGGGGTTGGGGATGTGGCTCAAGCGGTAGCGCGCTGCCATGCGTGCGGCCTGGGTTCGATCCTCAACACCACATATAAAGATGTTGTGTCTGCCGAAAACTAAGAAAAATAAATATTAAAATTCTCTAAAATAAAATAAAAGGAATGAACTCCATGAAATGAACTTTCCTCTTAGTACTGCCTTCATAGTGTCTCAGGGATTTCAATGTTGTATCAGTGTTCTCATTTACCTCTAAGAATTTTTTAATCACCTCTTTGATGTCTTTTGCAACCATTGTTCATTCAATAGCATATTTTTATTTAGTCTACAGGTGTTGAAGTAGCATCTATTTTTAATTTAATCATTGATTTCTAAATTTCATTCCATTATGATCTGATAGAATACAGGGTAAATAATTTTTTTGTATTTGCTAAGTTGCTTTATGACATAATATATGGTCTATTTTTGAGAAGGATCCATGTGCTGCTGAGAAGAAAGTGTATCCACTTGGAAGGATGAAATATTCTATATATGTCAGTTAAGTCTAAGTTATTGATTGTATTACTGAATTCTATAATTTCTTTGTTTAGCTTTTGTTCAGAAGATCTATCTAGCAGTGAAAGAGGTGTGTTAAAATCACTCAAAACTATTGTGTTGTGGTCTACTTGACTCTTGAAATGAGTTTGAGGAGTGTAGATGCTACATGGTTTGGGGCATAYATAATTGTTGTAYCTTATTGATGTATGGTTCCCTTAAACAGTATGAAATATCCTTCTTTATCCCCTGTGATTAACTTTGGCTTGAAGTCTACTCTATTTGATATGAGGACAGAAACCTTGTTTCTGCAGTCCATGTCTGCCAGTATAGCTTTTTGATTGGTCATCGTAGGCCATTAACATTCAGGGTTGTGCTCTATGTGTAATATGAAATGAATTGCCTTCTGCATGTGTAACAAATTAGAATAAAAAACATTCAGGGTTATTATTGAGACATGATTTGTAGTCCTAGTCATATTTACTTTTGGTATTTAACTTGGTTTCTACTTTGATTAGTATATCCTTTAGTGTAACACTTCCCTTTGCTGATTTTCATTGTTATTTGTTCCTCATGGAATATTTTGCCGAAGACGCTTTCTAGTCATAAATTCTTTTATCATGGAAGGTTTTTATTTTATCATCAAAGCTAAAGCTTAATTTTGCTGGATATGATTCTTCGTTGGCATCCATTTTCTTTCAGAGCTTGGTATATTGTTCCAGGATCTTCCAGCTTTCAGGGTCTGGGTTGAAAAATCTCCAGAGCTCCCAATTGGTTTTTCCCTATATTCAATCTGATTCCTTCTTCTTGTGGCTTCTAAAATTCTCTCCTTATTCTGTATGCTGGGCATTTTCAATATAATGTGCCTTGGTGTGGATCTCTTTTGTGATTTTGTGTATTTGGTGTCCTATAAGCCTCTTGTATTTGATTTTGTAATTAATTCTTCATGTTTGGAAAATTTTCTGATATTTAATTGAAGAGATTATTCATTCCTTTG